ATCCCCCTCCCTCCATATACTTTGATGGTCCTCTCCAAGTGTATTTTAAAACCTAACAAAGTTTTGTTTTTTTCGGCTTCAGCGGGTAGGCGGTTCCATGGGTTTATAACCCTGTGGGTCAAAAAGCATCTCCTGTTCTCAGTCCAACATTGTGGCTTGTTGAGCTTGAAACCGTTGCTCCTTGTTCATGTTACATCTGACCTTTTGAAGAAATTGTCCGGATCAACATCCTCCAACTTGTTCAGTATTTTAAAAGTTTCAATAAGATCCGCTCTGTATGCCAGTTAACCACATTGAAAGATGAGGAAATGCCATAGCGCTTTCAATCCAGCAGGGGAGCCTACGTCAGTAACAACTGACAGAATGCAAGCATGTTGTTGTTTTAGATTCAGCTACTGGGAACAAAAAGTTCCAAGTAGCACAGGCTATGGTGAGCTCGTAGTGGACTTACCTGGCACAGGTGCGGGGCTGTAACTGAAAGCAAGCATGTGCAGGCCAGATATATGGGGACGGAAGTGAAGGAAGATGGTGGGGGGAGGGGGAAGGCGACGTCAGGGGAAAGTGCCAAGCCATTACGACTCTTAATGTTGGAGTGAGAGCGTAGAGGCGGCAAGATCACAAGAACACAAGATCACAGTAATCTACCAAGGAACCGGCGCAAGAAGGGAAGACAGCATTGGACACGAGGCAGCAAACAAGAGCAGCAAGACAAAAAAACATAAATTTCCTCTTAAGTTTGAAATATGAAACAAGTAAGAACATGCCACATATTACAAATACAAATATTTATTCAGGTAAAGTACATACATACAAGGTAAGATACAAAAGCTGATGGATTTATAGATAGAGCTAGTACATACAATGCCTAAAGCCACTATTACGCAAAGCGTTTCGGGCAGGAAAAACACTTAAGACTAAAACTTAATACTAATTGAGATTAAAGTATAAATTGTGTTGAGAAAAAATAAGAAAAGAATGGGAAGGTGGGGGGGGGGGAACATGGCAGAAAAAAAAAGATAAAATACAATTTGGTCAACAAAACAGCATTGTTGAAAATGGAAGACATGGGTTGACATTTTGCGGGTGAGGTAGGTTACATTGAGTTAATTAGGTGGTACTTAGTTTTTATCTTAAACTGGTTGGGAGAGGTACAGTCTTTAACATAATTGGGAAGGTCATTCCACATTCGAGGTCCCTTGATTTGTAAAGCATTTCTAGTTTGACTAAGTCGTACTCTTGGAATATCAAATAGGTGTTTGTTTCTGGTGTGGTGCTCATGGGATCTGTTACAACCTTCTAGGAAGCTTTTAAGGTCAGGACTGACATTACAGTTCAGCGTTTTATATATATATAATACACATGAGAGGATGTGCAGGGACTTAATATCTAACATATTCAGAGATTTGAGTAGGGGTACCGAGTGATGTCTGGGGCCAGAGTTAGAGATTGTCCTAATAGCAGCTTTGTGTTCAGTAATTAGAGGACGTAAATGATTTTGGGTAGTAGAACCCCAAGCACAAATACCATAGTTGAGATAAGGATAGATGAGAGAGTACTATGCGTATTAATGGCTTTAGGTATTGTATGTACTACCTCTAATGTGTAATGTACTAGCTCTGTCTATAAACCCAGCATTATGTTTGTAATTCATCTTCTATGTATGTACTTTTACCTGAATAAACATTTGAATTTGAACCAAATTGCATAAGTTTTCTCAATGTGAATATAACAAAAGAAAACGTTCCAATTTTATATCTATGACAAACTAAATTATTTTTACAAGGAAGATAAAAATGTATATTTATTTATTTATTTAGTTATTTATTTAGTTATTTATTTATATACAAGAAAGTACAATGCGGGGTTAAGAGAGAACATAGAAATAAAGTTGATTTTACATTCTTGTAAAGCCACTAGCACGCATAGCGTTTCAATTGATAATAGTTGTACATATACCTATCAGAGCCACAAACAACAAAAATTCTAAAGACCTAAGCATAGAAGCTACAGTATTTAGGGCTGTGAGGATCTATAATGCTAAAGACTTCACTGGCTGTAAAGACTTCTGGCTGTACAAGAATGTAGGAATTCTTTTATATATAAATAAAAAAATACAAGAAAGACCTAAACGTGAAAGCCACAGTATGTAACTGTAAAGACCTAAACAAAAAAACAAAATCATTAGGGCTGTGAGGATCTGTAATGCTAAAGACATAACAATGAAAGCTACAGTATTTAGAGCTTCCTAGTTCTAAATACTCTCGAAGCTCTCCAGCCTACTTAAACAGTATGGAGCTCACCAAGACATAACCAAACGGAGGAAACAAATGCCGCATTGGTCATATGGAGGATAAGGTCTCCATCTAGAACAGGTAGAGGTATTAGAGCCCCAAGAAAATGATTCAACATAGCCACTCACCTAATTACTCCTAACAAATATACTCAAAGTAATAGAGACATAGGTGTTCGAGTTGCTGCTAACAGACAACTGTTGCTGTTGAGCAAACAACACACCTGCCACCAATTAAGTACACTTACCAAGAAGTATGTAATGCTTCTACACAAATAAACACTCTCTGGTCAATCCTTAAAGCCATGGGCACAAAATTGATTTAAATATTGTTGGTATAACAAAATCTCACAGAATCCACAGAGGCTCAAATGGTAATCAAGGGCAAGCTTGACAAACTCAAACAAAACGACAGCGTCACTCAAAGACGCAGGGCAAAAAGCACTCCACTATCCTACATACACACAAAATACAGGAGGTATACTTAGCCCCCTCCTTTTCAACTGTCTAATGGAAAGAATTTTACCTGATTTACCTGAGGGCCACTAACCCTAGTGGCCTCGACGAGGACAGGAAGCCGGTGGCTTGTCGTAGGTCCCCCCCATTTAGCTAACTGCTAACAAACTCACCCTTAACATTGACAAAACCTTCTACAGTATACAGTATTTTGTTTGGTAATAAATCCTCAAATCAAATTAATCTAAGAATAAACAATATCCAAATTAGTAACAAAGTAGATGGTGAATTCCTTGGTGTCCTCGTCGATAACAAGCTGAATTTCCAGGGACACATTGTAAATATAGAAAACAAAGTTTCTAAATCTGTTGGCATTCATTGTAAGATTGGATATTATGTACCTCGCCCTGCCCTGGTGACGCTCTATTACTCTCTCATATATCCTTATCCCAGTTATAAATCCAACATTATGTTTGTAATTCATCTTCTATGTATGTACTTTTACCTGAATAAACATTTGATTTTTAATTTGAATGTGCCTTGATGATCTTTTCCATGTATATTTTGAGACTCAGCACAGTTTTGGCAGTTACGGCTTCGGCGGGTAGGCGGTTCCATGGGTTTATAACCCCTGGGGGTGAAAAAGCATCTCCTGTTCTCAGTCAAACATTGTGGCTTGTTGAGCTTGAAACCGTTGCTCCTTGTTTGTGTTACGTCTGACCTTCTGATGAAAATATCCGGATCAACATCCTCTAACTTATTCAGTATTTTAAAAGTTTCAATAAGATCCGCCGTCATACCTGGTTTGCAGTGTTGTTAGCCCTGGCCTTCAAGTGTTCCTAAGTCAACAAGCTAGAGTTGACTTGACTCTGGAATGTGAATATAACAAAAGAAAACGTTCCACATTTTATATTTATGATAAACTAAATTATTTTTACAAGGAAGATAAAAATGTATATTTATTTATTTATTTAGTTATTTATTTAGTTATTTATTTATATACAAGAAGGTACAATGCGGGGTTAAGAGGGAACATAGTAATAAAGTTGATTTTACATTCTTGTAAAGCCACTAGCACGCATAGCGTTTCAATTGATAGTTGCCCAGTGTTGCACCTTCTCCAGAACAACGATGTCCTGAAAATGAGGTCTCCATGCTTGGATACAGTAATCCAAATGACAGAGATTTATACAGTTGAACCGATTGGTTGATGAAGATTAAGCCACCCAAAAGGTGGCACCGGCATGAATAGCCCGTAAGTGGTGGCCCTTTTGAGCCATTACCAGTATCAAGAGCTGCTACTGGAGATCTGTGGAGGTGCAACTGCACCCTGCGTGACGGGAGATGTCTCCCGTGCAATTGAACCATTACCTTCTTTTCCTTATAGTCGCTTGCTTATCCCAAGGCTTTCTACTAAGGCTATGTATGTATTAACACGATGCACTGAACGGGATGAGAATAGCTTGAGCTACCTCATCCCTTTGTGTGTATTTTACCTCAATAAACTTATTTCAATTTCATTTTCAATTTCTACTAAATGATTATAAAAAACACTAAACTCTGTGGCTAATCAACCAAAACACGAAATAAATAAAACAGAGGAAGATGAATAATGAGTTGGATAGTTCCCCCAGTTACAAATAGAATATCATAGAAACTTAGTTATTATTGCTATTATTACTATGTACGTGGTATATAATAAAATACCGGAATATATTGTACATTTACTTATATGTATATAGTGGAACAACGGGACCACGCATGTTATATGCAATGAGGCACACGTAACTTGTATTTTGTACGTAATTGACTGTATATGGTGTGTAATTGATTATATATTATACATCTAATTTTGTCTATACAGTTTACATTTGGTCTACAACTACAGGTGATGCAAACTCTCTCTCAAACGATTCTTCGCGGCAGGGGATCGTATTCCAGGGACCTGCCCGAAACGCTACGCGTACTAGTGTGTACAAGAATGTAACAACTCTTGTATATATCGAAATAACGTAATGACAGACTAGTGTTACGTCACCCGGTCCGCTTCATTTATTATGCACAACATACCCGCCCTGAGGACAGAAGTGGAGAGGGTTACAGAGGCACATAATAAGCTGAACTGCAAAACTCATCTAGCTAACCAACTTACAGTTTTGATAAGCTAATTACAAAACGTAATGTATATTGTTAAATCAAGAATAGGTTCGCGACGGACCACAAGTACGCTCAACAAGGAAGCCGAGCGTCTCATGACGTCATAATCTCCCACAATCCGTTAACCCCACAAGAAATAGCTAAGATATTTCCCTTATCGATTACATTCGGTGGTGATATCGCCTGGATTATTAAATCTCGGTAATTTATAAGGTGAAGCATAGTGGAGAAAGTGAGAGTGGAGTGAGGAGAGGCGGGAGCGGACACGTGGGGGGAGAGGAGAGTGTTGTGGTGTGATCAGCTGTCAGGCGGCCGGGGTACTCTCTCTCCCGCGTCTCTCTCCAGATTTATTCCCTAAGCAGCCACCTGGTCCTCGAGGTAAGCTCTCGCGGCCGCTGTGCAGGAGCCCACAGGTGCAGGGGCGTCAGGTCCACCGTTGGAAGGGTCGTAGGTGGTGGTTTTATTGCGGTGTTTGGTGGGGCGAAGAGTTGGTCGGGCCGGAGGGTCAGGACCGTCCAAGCCTCAACACGCCACTCGACAAAGCTTGTGTTCTAATAAATAGTTTAGTAGTTTATTATACACTACTACTACTATATTATGTACCTCTCTCAACCAGTTTAAGATAAAAACGAAGCACTACCTAATAAATTCCCTGTAACCTACCTTACCCCTCTATTGTCAACCCATGTCTGTTTTCTTAAACAACGCTGTTTGTCGACCTATTTGTATTTGTGCTGCTTTTTCAGCCATGTTTCCCCCTTTTTATCTTTATTTTTATTTGTTCTCAACACATTTTATTCTTTATACTCATTTAGTATTAAGTATTAGTCATTAAAGTTTTTCCTGCCCGAAACGCTTTGCATAATAGTGGCTTTAGGCACTGTATGTACTAGCAGTAACTGAAGACAGTTCATTTAGCTAAATAACAATATTGTTACTATTATTATTCTGCCCGAAACGCTATGCTGCCTTTGCATTCTTGCTAGTGCAAGAATGTCAAACTTCAAGTCTCCGTTCTCTCATAAACCCAATGTACCCTCTTGTATATAAATAAATAAATAAATTTGAAGCCAGTTATTTTTTTTTATTACACACATACATATTTTTTTTAAAGAACTGAGCAGCTCAATATTACCTTGTTGGATCTCGTCACTCTTACACACATTACCCCCAGTACCTAAGAGGAAAACTGACTAGTGCTGTTTGTAGGTGAGAAAGTGTTGCCAACTCACCAGCGGCCAACCTATACGCAAGATGATATACACACAGAAATCACATTAATGTGATATATCCAGTGAACAATATATCACTTATTGATATATATTCATATATATCAGTAAGGGCGTAGAGGTAGAACATCTGGTTGACAGAGCCCGAGTGCATGGGGGGAATTGTGTGAAACTTTGGGTTAGGCTTTGGAGAAAGCTTCGGGATCCTCGTGAGGGCAGTAGCACTCCAGGTTGCAATTCTATTGACCATTTTATGGTACAGTTGACTAGGGCGCATCCGGGAACATCCCGTGCGTAGGTTTGAATCCCCATCACGGCCCTTGTGGATTTGTTTATTCGCAAGATGGTATGATCGTATACCACGATGGTACACATACCTTTCACTATATTATTTATCTTTTTTCTTTCTGGTTCCTCTGTGCCATGGAGGCAGAAAACTGGGTAATGATAATGGCTGAATAATTTGTGAAATGATATATGTAAATATTACAAGAAATGTTTTTTTTTAAATATTTATAATGGTACCTATGCAAGCTGTGTACAAGTACAGTTGGTCTGCAGTATGGTGGTTGTGAGACAAGTGTGTGATGTGATCTCCTCCCTCTAATGTGTACCAGGACGTACTTGAGGTGTATGCTCAAAGGAAAAAGTAGTGTCTGTGTACGTGTAAACGACACTACCATAGCTCCTACTAGCTTAGCCTATGTAAGTAGTGCACAAGTTTAATACTGCTTAAAGTGAATACATCCTAAGTTAGTTTAATCAAAATGTTTCACACTTGCAATCCCTCGCTTAATAAGACTTTTTCTACTTATAATAATAATAATAATAATAATGTTGGTGGTACATTCATTATTGCAGACTGGGGAGTATTTATGGTAAGGATGTTGTAAGAGTACTTTTATTGTGTGCATTACTGTGGTGTGTTTTGTTGAGATAGTGGAAAATAAACTGATTTTTTTTATGGTGTATGGAATGCATCTCTTTTATTTTTGTGGTTTAAATGTGCACATATTTTCCAGGAATGCATCTCCTACACATATCATGGGCATAATATACTGAATATTGTTTACCATTGTGAATTTATATGTTAATTACCTAGGCCTACTTTATATGGATTTTTAAGTATTGATAATCTTAATTTATTTACAGGCAAAATGAAGAGTGCAGAAGTAAGGCAGATGTTTTTTGACTACTTCCAAAAGCAGCACAACCACACCTATCAACACAGCTCCCCGACCATTCCTCATGATGACCCTACATTGCTTTTTGCTAATGCGGGCATGAATCAATTTAAGCCCATTTTTATAGGAACTGTAGATCCCAGCAGTGACATGGCCAACTTGGTGCGTGCTGTCAACTCTCAGAAGTGCATCCGTGCTGGTGGAAAACATAACGATCTTGATGATGTTGGCAAGGATGTGTACCACCACACTTTCTTTGAAATGTTGGGCAACTGGTCTTTTGGGGATTACTTCAAGAAAGAGGTATGTGCTTGGGCTTGGGATCTTCTTGTTAACTGGTACAAGTTACCTAAAGAACGTCTATATGTCACCTATTTTGGAGGTGACACAAGACAGGGCCTTGAACCAGATCTGGAGTGTAAGCAGATCTGGCAAGACTTGGGTGTACCAGAAGATCGCATATTGCCTGGGAATATGAAAGACAACTTTTGGGAAATGGGGGAAACAGGGCCATGCGGACCGTGCTCTGAGATTCACTTTGATCGTATTGGAGGGCGTCATGTTCCCCACCTTGTCAATATGGATGACCCAGATGTTTTGGAGATATGGAATCTTGTATTTATGCAGTTCAATAGAGAAGCAGATGGCTCTCTGAAATCTTTGCCCAAAAAACATATTGACTGTGGTTTGGGTCTTGAACGTCTGGTGTCAATTCTTCAAAACAAGAGATCTAATTATGATACTGATCTTTTCATGCCGATTTTCGAAGCCATTGAAAAGTCATCGGGTAGTAAGCCATACTCTGGTAAAGTTGGCGAGGAGGATGTTGATGGAACTGACATGGCTTATAGGGTATTAGCTGATCACATCCGAACTCTAACAATAGCATTGTCTGATGGTGGCATGCCTGATAACACAGGAAGAGGTTATGTCCTGCGGCGAATTTTGAGGCGAGGTATTCGTTATGCTTCAGAGAAGTTGGGAATGAAACCAGGAATGTTTGCTGATCTCGTTGATGTAGTAGTCAAGTTACTAAAGGATGCTTTCCCAGAAGTGTCAAAAGACCCAGAATATATTAAAGATGTAATAAACGAAGAGGAATTGCAGTTTTTGAAAACTCTAGTCAGGGGAGAGAAAATGTTTGGGCGTACCATAGGGAAACTTGGTGGGAGTCGTGTAGTTCCGGGTGATGTGGCATGGAGGCTTTATGATACTTACGGGTTCCCAGTTGACCTGACCCAGTTAATGGCTGAAGAGAAAGGTCTGGCTGTTGATATGGTAAGCTTTGAAGAAAATAAGAAGGAAGCTCAGGAAAAATCAAGAGGGGAGAATAAAGACAGGGATAATTCCTTCAGGCTGGATGTTCATGCCATTGAAGATCTTAAAAGTAGGAATGTGCCGTTCACAGATGACAGTTTAAAGTTTGCATATTCTGCTGAAGAGACTCCTGCATCAACTTACAAGTTCCAGTCATGCATTGGGAAAGTCATTGCTATTAGGCATAACAACCAGTTTGTAGAGAAGGCTACATCTGGAAATAGATGTAGTATCATTCTTGATAAGACAAACTTCTATGCTGAAAGTGGTGGTCAGATGTTTGATGAAGGATTTATGATTAAAATTAACGATGAAGAAACTGAATTTAAGGTAGAGTCGGTGGAAGTGAAAGGTGGTTTTGTGTGCCATGTTGGTGTGGTTGAAGGTTCAATAAGTCTTGGAGATGACTTAAATCTTAGTTTTGACTGGGAGCGCAGGAAGCAACTTATGAATAATCACACAGGCACTCACATTCTAAATTTTGCTCTGCGCCAAGTGCTCTCTGCAGAGGCAGACCAAAAGGGCTCCTTGGTGGCTCCTGACAGACTTCGATTTGATTTTACAAGCAAGGGTGCCATGACTGTAGATCAGGTGAGGAAGACTGAAGAAATTGCCAGAGAAATGGTCAAAGAAAATAAACCAGTTTATGCTAAAACTGCACAACTGTCTGTTGCAAAGAGCATTCAGGGCCTGCGTGCAGTGTTTGGAGAAGTATACCCAGATCCGGTAAGGGTGGTTTCTGTGGGCATCCCAGTTGAAACTTTGGAAGCTGACCCTCAGAGTCCAGCTGGAAGTGTCACTAGCATTGAATTCTGTGGTGGGACTCACCTCCTTTATACTGGTCATGTGAGAGATTTTGTTATTGTCAGTGAGGAAGCTATTGCAAAAGGAATACGGCGAATTGTTGCTGTCACTGGTCCGGATGCTATTAAAGCCTTAAACAAAGCTTCACATCTAGAGAATGAAATCAACATTTTAAAGAAAAAAATAGAAGGAAATGATATTCCATTCAGAGAAGTTATTCGCCTTCTCACAGAAGTATTAATGGATATTAATCATGCACATATTCAACACTGGAAAAAGGAAGAGCTACGGAAGGCAGTTGAAGCCATCAAGAAAGTCCATGGTGATGCAGACAGGGCACGAAAAGCAGCAATTTCAAAGCAGGCTATTCAGATTACGAAGAATCTGCTGGCAGCTAACGCTAACATTCCATATTTAGTGACTGAAATGAAGGCATTTGCTCAGAATAAAGTCATTAATGATGCCTTGAAGGAGGTAAAGAATGGACCTCCATCTCTATTTATTAGTGCTGATGACGACACTGGAAAAATTCTTGCTATGGCATCTGTTCCAAAGAATGAGGTTGCCAAAGGTTTAAAAGCTGATGAATGGGTTAAAAATTTGATAACTCTCTTAAATGGCAAAGGTGGTGGCAAACCCGAGTCTGCTCAGGTGAGCGGCACTAATGTGAATGCTTTGAAGGAGGCATTGACCCTTTCTGAAAAATTTGCCCAAGAGAAATTAGGTGTTGGAGCAGTAGTCTTGGCTGCTCCTCAAACTGTTACTAGTAATGTAAACCAACCAAAGGACATTCAGAGTAAGAGTGAAAAGGGAGAAAGTCGGAGTAAGAGTGAAAAGGGAGAAAGTCGGAGTAAAAGTGAAAAGGGGGCAAGTCGGAGTAAGAATGAAAAGGGAGCAAGTCAGAGTACAAATAAAGAAACTGCTCAGGGCACGAAAAACGGACTAGTACTTCATTCGTACCTTAACAATGTCCGTGCCTTTCCAGCACTTATAGCTGCAAAATATTCTGGGACAGACATCACAATTTCAGAGGATTTCAAGATTGGAGTAACAAATGTTACTGAACAATATATTTCTCGGTTTGGCTCGAGTGTAGTTCCTGGCCTAGAAACTCCAACTGGGACTCTGGTTGGGAGTGTAGCACCAGCCTGGTATCTTGCACCTGCTACACTCAAGGGGGGAAGTACAGCTGATCAAGGACAGGTCTTAAGTTGGATGTCGACTGCTGACAGTCTTTTATTGCCATTTGTGTGCTCGGGGATGGTTGTTCCGCCAACGTCCAAGAACGGGAGTAATGAAGGTGGTGCACGTGAAGCTGCTATGAAGGAGTTGCAGAAGCTTAATGTTTACCTTCGTGATCATACTTTCCTAGTTGGAGAGAGAATATCGCTTGCTGATATAAGTGTGTTTGCATCGCTGATACCGGCTTTCCAAAATAGTCTGGATGGTGCAATTCGGAAGACGATGCCTTGTCTAACTCGTTGGTTCAACACTGTTCTGCACCAGCCTCAGGTTACTCAGGTGGTTGGAACACTTGCTATTCAATAACCCTCATAGTGATGTAGCTGTTATTGAAGACAAGTGACCAATTTAACCTTTGCTCTGTCTCTGCTCTTTAATGTCTCAAATTAAACAATTTAAATAGAAAGTTTTGTTATAACAGTGAAGATAAGGTTCTATGGAATTTGCCCGGTATTAATTTGTCTATAATAAAATTTTGGTTTTACAGTATTTACATTTTTACAATGAAAGTATTTTGATTTCATAGGAATTTTATTATTCATTTATATTGCATTACAAACTGCAGTAGAGGTGATAAACTTGAATGAATGCTCTATTTCTTATATCGTTATTATGAATAATTTTATTAATTTTTGGAAACATGAGTATTATTTTTTTGTATCTTCAGATCTAGTTTTCTAGAGTTGTAATTATTCATGTGTGGCGCAAAAGGAGTACAGTACGTGTATCACCAGAATACCAAAAAGAACATTTTTATTTATTGATCATCTTAAATTTTTTATAAATTTCAAATACAGTATAGTATACATACATATATATACGGTCTTCGATTTCTTTCTTGGTGGCATGTACAAATATGTGAGGTTGTCTGGAGGTTGTTGTTATAGGTGAAGTTTCACAAATGTTAGAACATGGTTTATACCATAGTATTAAATGCAGATAAAAATTGAACGTGGTTTTACTTTTTTTAGCCTGATCTTTAAATATTAATTAATAATATGGATGACGTTCTTGACAAATGTAAGATATCTTTGTAATGATTTCAAAAGTTCTGCCTAATTGATTGCATGCTGCTGTATTACAAACAGCTTGTGAGTTTAGGGTAGCTGCACAATTGTAAATGTAAAATAAATCACTATGGCTGGCCTCATTTAGCTGATGTAGGAAATGAGGAAACTAACTAAGCTCAGTTATAGAGCTAAGAGAGATTAACTCGTGGGTACGTAATGGAACAGAAACTTATTCCTTGCTTTTCTAATTTCATTTCGACACCTAGGCACACATTTTCTAGTTGATTATCCTGACTTTCAAGAAATTTGAAACTTTGCTTGTTAATTGTCTTGTTGCCCAAAATATCTTGCAATAAGCTATTTAGTGACTGATATCTTTAAGATAGATAACATTATCTCATTCTCATATTGTATAGGAATCTTGTGTGATGTCTAATAGCCTTTGAAATGTCTAATTGAGTGTGATTTGCATACTGTTACAAAGCCAACAGTACTTGCTTAGTGCTTGCGTCTTATAATTGCAGACAAGAGGGAGGAAATGTCTGGGCAATATTTGTGTTAGGTTTCTCAGTGAGCAATTGCCAGTAATTTTGCATTATATAACTAAAGTATGCAAAGGGTTAAGAATTAATTTCTTTGTATAAACATCACCATTCTATTTCTACTTTTAATAGAGGGGTGAGCAAGTATTTGCAGAAAAGATGGAGTAAAATAGTGACAAGAAATGTCTCGTTCTACTTTCCACACACTGACGCTTTAAAGAAATCTAGGGTCAACACATTACCACATTACTACATGTAATTATAGACTATGCTTAAAGTGTTCCATGCTTCTTTTGCCTCTCTCCTTCCAGGAGGTCCAAGGCAACATCTTTGCTGTCAAGTATGCACCTGAAACAACTGCTAAATTTCATGACCAGTATGTCCCTGCTAGAGTGGTCCAAATATTTTGATGTCCTCTGTGATGACCATTTCTGGCTTGACAGTTTGCACATACACAGACACTTTGTAGACTCTGTGAATGCTCTTGTTCGGTTTACTCCCACCCAGACTGGCACTCACGTCATTGAGGTCTCCCTCTGAGGAGGTGGCTGCTTGCCTAGCTGCTTTATCTCAAATTGATAAGGCCACAATTTGGGTCTCAAAGAACATCTTAACACTTTTGCGTCTGGGCATACACACGCCACACTACCCCAAGGGGGGCCGGGCGTTTCCCGCGAGTGCTTGGCAACACTGAAATGTGTATACTCTTTATAGTTTTATCACCTCAATTTCAGTTGTACGTCATTCATTTTGGCATCAAAATATTCACAATAGAATTTCCTACAGGATTATATTCAAATAAGAGCCAAAAGGCCGGCATGCAACCTGCACCAAACCCAGAAATCAGTTGAGCGTTACCCGTGAGCACGCAAGAGCAATGCAATGTGTATAACTATTTTTCACTTTTTCACCTCAATTCCATGCTATATCTTACATTTTGGTATCAATGTGTTCGCAATAGACTTCCCTACAGGGATATATGCATATAAGGTCTAAAAGCCTGGCGCGCCCCACCCGTAGCATAGCCGAAAGTCAGCTAAGCGTTACCTGTGAGTAAGCACCCATTGGCACACCTGCTCACAAATGTATTTACTCTTTTCAAGTTTCTCATCTCAATTTTCACCTCAGTTTGCAATAGAATGGGAAGTTTTTGGCGCACATTTTAAAACCAGCCCCATAAAGGTCGGATAAAAACTTGAATTTTAACAAATATTTTAATTTTGGACGTCACCAACGTCCCTAAGGAACATCCGCAGAGTTATTTGTGGACATCATCTCTGTCCCTAAGGAACGAAAGTGTTAATGAATGCCAGTGTAAGCACAATCCTCCTTCCACCCTATGTCGAAACAGGGAACAGAGAACTTAGGGATTGTCATCTTGGCACCTCTGTAATAAGTGTTGGAAATTTGGGAACGGACCTCAAAATGTGGCAGTGAGGCATCTTTTTGGCCCTTCTTCCTTAGACCATTCTATGACATTGTTCTTTTCTCCACTGCAGTTGAAGCTCAGCCTGTTTTTTGCATTTTTTTCTCCATTATAAGTTTAAATAGATTATCCTCCACCTTCAACATCAGGATTGCATTTCTTTCCCTAAAGCAAATGTTGGAAATCTTGCGTTTTGCTTTTATGATTTGCATTTTTTCCTCATCTTCTGACATGACTAATGCAAGTGCATTACATCGTGCTCCCCTGCCCCACCCTCCTCAAGTCCACAACTGTTTCCATATCTTGGGCCCCAACACAGCCACAAGCTTCCTTTCTTACCTGCTATCCTACAATCTGAGTGTGTGTGTGTAGTCCTCTGGTACCACCAGCCAGTGTTTCTGCCTCGCCTTCCCAGTCTTCCCTTGTTTGTCGTTTTCATGTCATCACTCGACCTCTTTGATCTTTATCCTCTGTGGGGCCCCTCTGACTGTCAGTCCCATCTTCCTTCTCAGTCCTCCACTCTTTCTTTTGGTCCTTCCTGGCAAATGACCATTTGGGCCAATATCAAGCCACCATCTGTCTATCCTCATGTCACCCACTCTCGTACGTCCTACCCGAGACAATTGCAGCTATCTCACAGGCACAACTGTAATTACCTAAGTGTAGTTACAGGATGAGAGCTATGCTTGTGGTGTCCCGTCTTCCCAGCACTCTGTCATATAACGCTTTGAAACACTGACGGTCTTGGCCTCCACCACCTTCTCACCTAACTTGTTCCAACTATCTACCACTAGGCTTGCGAAAGTGAATTTTCTTATATTTCTTCGGCATCTGTGTTTAGTTAGTTTAAATCTATGACCTCTTGTTCTTGAAGTTCCAGGTCTCGGGAAATCTTCCCTATCAATTTTATCAATTCCTGTTACTATTTTGTATATAGTGATCATATCACCTCTCCTTCTGTCTTCTAGTTTTGGCATATTTAATGCCTTTAATCTCTCCTCATAGCTCTTGTCTTTCAGTTCTGGGAGCCACTTAGTGGCATGTCTTTGTACCTTTTCCAGTTTCTTGATGTGCTTCTTAAGATATGGGCACCACACAACCGCTGCATATTCCAGCTTTGGTCTAACAAAAGTCGTGAACAATTCTTTAATATTTTGCCAACCATGTATTTAAATGCAATTCTGAAGTTAGAAAGTGTAGCTGTTAGGAATTTGTTACTTGTTATGGGGTGGTATGGAGTATTAATGAGGGCCAACAGCTAGAATCAAGATGTATAAAAAATAGTGGGGTAGATAGGCCCGGCCCCCAAGGACCATAGATTCCTGTTAATGCTTCAAGGTTTTAGAAACAGATCTGTTGTCTAGTAGACAATCATCTACACCACTTCAACAGGATTAATGGATACACCTCAAAAACTAACATATTTATTAAACCCTCTACTAACCTCCCATATACATTACTATAATAACAACACTTTACCGCACTATCTTACTTTAACTACCTTGGTTCACATAGGCAGGATACAAGCCTTACACTTGGACAAAACTAGGGTAAAGTCTACTTGAAGAGAGGCACATGAAAGGCTTGAAGCAGCCTGGGGTAGCTAAGCCCCACGTGGTACCCTAGTCACAACACAATACACTTAGGGATGCCCAAAACACTGGCTTATACTACCCAATACTTATAAATACATCACACACACCTAGCTAGTAGCACGATACCTTAATACTAATTAACTTATCTGAGAAATAACCCCAGCATGGGGTAAGGGAAGAGAGGAGACAGAGCCACACAGGAGAGGTGTTGACCCAAGCACAGTAGTCCAGAGGAGGAGGAACCAGCACTCAGTCCTCGAGCTCTCTCATGTTGTTGTTGCCGGGAAGCTACCTAGTTGATCGTGCAGCTACAAACGATACAAGTCTTCACCGGCCTTCGTTACTAGTTACTTTAATAGTTCTAAGAATAGCTGATAACTAGTTCAATATTATATTTAATCAACAACAAGCTCAGTCTGAATGCTCTGAGAAACAAGATTCATCTTATGTTTGGCAATGGCGACGGGAATAAGGCATACCCCCGGTTTTAAGGAGCCATGATATAAATGTTACTGTAACTAAATATCCTTCTCACATGATCCAATTCTATGAGTTAATGTATAGTAATTATTTAGAGCTCAATTTGACCTCTGGATTTCAACTAAGGAACCCAGGGTCGTAACAGTAGCATAGGCCCCTCACACAATGTTCTTAATGTGATCCTCAGGTGATAGTTTTCTATCTAGAACTACCCCTTGATCTCTTACTTTATCAGACTTTAAAAGATTTCACACATAATTTATAGGTTGTGTGGGGTCTATGTTCTCCTAGTCCACATTACATAACATGGCATTTACAGTATTTACATTAAATTCCATTGGCCAAGTGGTGCTCCATATACCTATTCTGTCCAGGTCTTGAAGGGTATGACAATTGCCTAAGTAACTTATCTTCCCTATTTTCTTAGCATCGTCAGTAAACATGTTCATATAATTCTGTATTCCATCTGGTAGATCGTTAATGTAGACTACGAACTTTACTGGTGCAAGAACTGAACCCTGTGTTACTCCGCTTGTGACATTTCTCCAGTCCGATACACTTCCTCTTATTACTGCCCTCATTTATTATTATTAGATGCTTATTACTGCATCTATTTGGACCTAAAAAAGACTTTCGACAGAGTTCCACATAAGAGATTGTTCTGGAAACTGGAACACATTGGAGGGGTGACAGGTAAGCTGCTAACATGGATGAAAATTTTTCTGACAGAAATCAATCTCAATCTCCTTTTAGACTTGCCTGTGCTCCTTTTTGGGGGTATTTTTAACTGTCAACATGTGCCGCACACCCTCTAGGGTGATGTCCATACAAACACCTGAGTGTCTTCTAGAGCCTTTTGTCTTTTCACCTTGTCTACTCAATTCAAGCGAGCTGACTCATGTCGACTCTCATACTCAGACTTTCGTGCATCAGTCTTTCTGCTCCTCCATTTATGTAGGTTTGGCTTTGCACCATACTGGGTTACCCCTCAGCTCTGGTGTTTTTAGTCTGTCCCCAACCCCAGAGCTTGTTTGAAAATGGCATCCTGTCTACTGACTCCCCACTCCTGTTTGTGCTGTGATTTGACCGCTGCCCCTCGGGAAAACCTTTTTCTCTTTTTCCGCAAGATTGTTTTTGATGTGATTGCTCGTTTGCGAGATTTTCTCTAGATTTGCAGTGGCAATGTCTCTCCTCATGTTCCTGCTTTACCCCCTATGGAAGGTCCTGCTTGTTAAGTTTTGCAAGACCCTGACTCACATGGTGAAAGCTTATACTTCCAAATTGATATTTGAGATTATCAATTCAGTTTATTCCATTGCCATGGTAAATTAATAGTAATACCCAAATCCCCAAAGTAACTAGGAAATAATGATTACAGACCTTCACCCACATCAATTTGAGAAACTTTTAGAAATAATGCACTCTGCTCACAGTTGAAAAGATTCTTGGGCAGAGAAAGACATCTTGGCAGGTTTCCTTATGCCTCTTCACCTAGCAGTAAATAACTATCCAGGTTACATCATGGGGAAGGTTATTGGTAAACCTAACATGCAAACCAGTTCTCCAAATATGAACAATGATTAGCTACTGCTCTCATTAAAATATAAACCCAGGATCACAAGTCCCAGCGTGCTGTCCGCTCGGCCGACGGCTAAAATATAAAAGATATACAGTGAACAATCTAGTTTCAAATTAATTTTTGATTGTACAGTAATTAAAACTCTGAAAATTAAACCTATTTAAATGGAGCTGAACCACACTCAAGCCCTATAAATCCCCACATGTACAGTACTGTATATGCTCTGATCTTTATACAATATATCTTGCGACACAGACGGTGCTAAATAATTGTTATCTATACATGCAGACTTCTAGGCTTGGTGTCTACTTTTGATAATTACATACACTATGTTTGCACTTGTCTGTTGCCTGGGTACTATATGCAAATACAGCAATATTGTTTGTAATAGGTAAAATAAAATGGCCAGATATTAAAATATAACTTTACTTGTTATAAAGGTATCTAGAGCAATGTTTTTATATACAATATCAGCAGAAGACATGAATTGTAGTAGCCCGTTACTCCTAACATCGATGGTTTTATTTATTCATTTGGATACTTCCAAATGAATAAATAAATACATTAGTATTTCATTTGGATACTTCCACTCATACTGGAAGCAGTTTATATGATAGACAGTAAGTTTAATTCTGAATAATATATATATTAAACATACATACTTGAGCATACAATATGCACACACACACATACAAATATATAGTATCATTTAGATAGTACGTATATAAGACACTTTAATTTGTTAAAAGATGATGAGTCAGTAATATACATACACAATATAATACAGCAATGGACAGTTATATAGAAGTGGATGGTATTGGAAATGTTAGTTTGTCAAAAATAGACGATCACAGATATTAACATGAATGATGGCGAGAACTAGTTCAAAACTAATGCTAAAATATTTTCCAAATTAAAATAGAAAATTTAGCTACTGTACTGTATAAATATTAATATCGTACATTTTCACCAAAAAAAAAATTGAGGGTATATAAGACACCATTAAATTAGCTTGTCGACCTGCACCTTATACTTTGTGGAAATGGCCTTATATTGGACATCTTGTACCTTAAATGTAGTGACTTCAGGCTGAAGTTCTGCAAGCATTTCTGAAGCTTTCAAGTGATGATTTGAAAAAATGTTTGCCAGAGCACTCCATATGGCTATTTACTCTGTGCACGAGACATTTTTCAAATCTTTGCAATGTGAAATAAGAATGTGAGGCAAGAGATAAGTATCGACCATCCAACCCACGTGAAAGGTATGTAATGACTTTTTGGTCCATTAGTAATAATGGTCAGTTATTAGTAATAATGGAGCCCATGTCAAGTTGAATCAATGGCAATGGTCCAGGATTGGCTAAAATGTCATACCTTTAGTGTACATTACAAAAATATTTTGTTTAATGTTCACTCGCTAGGCCTACAGTAATCTATTAATGCCTGTGCGAGTACGTCTCAAGCATTTCCACCTAAGCAATTCAAAATGACCTTAAAAAAAGCCTAACAAATTCCTCCTATCAAGACATTGAAATATTAAATATAAGAAGCAATAAACAGACTTTCAATATGTATCTTTACTAAGTTTCATTATACTGTGTATGTATTTAAATGAAGCATTTGTTTAAAAAGTGCAACATACAGTAATTAAAAAATGGCAGATAGAAAAAAGTTAAGCCAAAGCACATGACAATGGCATTAAATGCAAAGTAGTACATATGCAACTAGTCACACTATTAGTTTTCAGCCTATGATATTGCTTAATCAAAGTTATCAAAAGTTACAGGCTAAAATATTTCATAGAAAACCACACACACTCATCCAACCCCTATTATGAAACAAGGCATTCACGATTAATATACTGGAATGTCCGTGTGAAACCTTTACATACAGTACATTTTTTATTTACAGCATTTAAAATAAATTGACTTATTTAATTTAAAATAATTTTAAATTCATTTAAAATTTCTTTATATAAATAATGCTATGATCCAAAGCTTCATAAATGTTTGGTTTTAACACCGCATACATCATATCCACGCATTTTATCCAACTGCTGATATTTCTGTGATGGTTTTTATTGAAATGAGCCAGAAATTTAGCATGTGTATAGCTGCTAAACAAAAAAAAAAAAAAGGCTGGCTGGGCCGAGCCTGGCCTCATGCAGGGCTCAGGAAGTAGAAATACTCCCAGAACCCTCTCCAGGTATACTATTGTGCAAGTTGCTTCACACAGCCTAATTTCACATTAGACTCGCAGGAGAATAGGATCCCTTTCCCCAGTTATTTTTTCAGCCGTTGGTCACTACTTCATTCTGTTGCATGGAATGCTCGTTGCGTAGGCTTACATAATTTATCTACATATATACAGTTCACAAAAATGCAGACATTATCAAGCTAAAATATTTTACATGTGAAAAAAATTAATGGTCGAAAAGAGCACTGAGCAAGTATGGATATACTGTACAGCACATGTGATTGAAATAAATGTTATATATGGTATTCAATAAACTGTACATATTTATAAGCTAGTAAATTTATTTAATGTGCATTATGTACATACAGCTATTTAGGGAACTTTTTCTTATAACTGACAATAAAACTGATGTACAGTAATTTATTAGTCCTTTAACACCAGGACAGTTTTCTCTGACTTGAGCCTTGACCCACAATATTTATATGCACAAAAAAATATTTGAATTCAAGTTTCAAAATTACATTTCTTCCAATGTAAAATATGCATCACAGTCTTGAAAAGTTCATTCATATACAGTGTGTAAAATGCACTTGAACACTTTGACAAAAAAACTTAATTCAAAATTCATTTTAATTTAACTATACTGTATATAGTAAAATGATTCTAGCTTCATGGCTATAATTCTGATGTGCTTGGAGAAACATTATTGGAGTTTAGAATCACAGCTCCTGGTGCATCCACTATACACTTGAGCACTGCACTTAACCTAAAACAGAGGAAGGGGTTCTAGTGCTGGTATGCTCTCGCTCCAAATATTAATTTGCCCGGTATTCTATGAAACCTGTGTTCCTCCAGATCGTTGATGTCTTAGCCTGAAAGCTGGGTATGAGAAATTACCATCAGAAGCATACCAATGTACATGAATGAAGAGAGATTCCTTTCTTAAGCAGTTAACGAGAAGGATGGCAAACTGTAGAAACTTAATTCAAATGTTCCTTGTGCCATCACTTTGAACAACAAGGTACAGTATTGTTAAATACTAACTTTGCTCTTTAGGAATGGGAAGAGGAAACACATTTTTAGTCCATCCTGGAGAGAAATTATCGCCACTTTTCCCATCTCTAGCGTGTGGATTTATTGTATATATCTTCCATTTACTTTAAAGTGAGTAATTGACTGCAAGAAACTGTAATACCGTCTAATAATTACAGGTTAGAAGATCTCTTTTCGGAAATTAAAGCCATATTCATGACACTTGTAGCGAAGCGTTCGTCCAAGAGCAGGTGGACCACAGTAGAATACAGTGATCTTCCCTTTCTGTTGATTCTGAAGTTGCTTGAAAACCTGTAGAGATAAGCATATGGATAGTGAAAAATTTAGTCATATCTGACAAACACAGTACATAATTTCAGTACAGTATATGGAATTACACTAAAAAACTTTAGAAGTTGACTCTCGGATGACTGTTGAATGTTAGGATATTTAGTCCTTGGGCAACTTAGGCTTACAGAGTAGGCACCTATCAATTAAATGTTAAGTTCCTCAGTATTCTATGAATTACCTGACCATTTAATTTTTATTTTTTTACTTTTTTGTTTAGAGGTTGTGTAAAATTTTAGATGGCTTTCTGGGAAGCCTGACCATTGACCACCACTCTACAAGTTGTAGGTGGAATAAAAGATCCAGGAAATCTGACAAAACTTAAGCAAGCAGGTGCAGGAAGTTTGAGTTAAAAGAATGCAAGTCAAAATCACAGCAATGCTATGTACAGGTGACAATACATGAGGAAACTTTGCAAAGTTAACAAACAAGTTCTGTGCCAATGCTAAACATGGAAGACTTGGAATGACACCAAAGTTGGTCTTGCACCATATTACACGATACCAAGTTGGTCCTATGCCTCTGCAAGATGTCCATGTTGGTCTGGAGCGCTACTACAATATACCAAATCTGGTCCTTTTCTCTGCATGTGAATTACATCTCATTTATGATAAACAAATTTTTTACTCAATCCACAATACATGACTGCCTCCTTACCTTATCCCAGTTGGGTCTACCAGCGTTAGTACGGGTCTTGAGGCCAGTGATGAGGTCTCGCTTCTCCTGCAGAGAGACAGAATGTATCGGTTTCTTATTGTGATCATCAAAGGTAGAAGAGTAGGATGAAAAGTTAAAATTGCTAGCAACCTCAACATGCTACATCAGATGTGTTATATTTGCTATTACTTCTTACCCTCCACTTAAAAGTACAGTATAGTGACGGCATCACTTCTTACAGGGTTACCTGTAATGTACCTGAAGGGAATGCCAGGCTTGACTTGTGAGAGCTTGGTCCAGCAGGCTGTTGCTTGGAGAAGCATGCAATTCCCCCATATAATCACTACAACCCGGTTGGTCCAGCACTTCTTGCAGAAAACTTTAGTTTTGTCCAAAAGACTACTTTTGTTTTAGCCATATTTCTTATTTACGCTGGGAGTATGTTGAACAACCATGGATCTCTGATCTTCACACAGTGTTCTGATTGCACCTATGGCACCTCTACTCTTCTATGGTTTTAGTTTGCATTTCCTTTTATATCAATCACTCCAATATGTTGTGTTTTCAAATTTGGGCTTAGCCTTCCAGTACTTTCCATGTACAGTATTTCATACCTCTTGTCCCCTTTCCAGAGAGCATATTTTTGAGAGATTTGAGATGGTCCCAATAATTTAGGTGCTTTATCATGCCTCGAGTGCCATATATGTTCTGTATTCTTTTTCAGCCATCTCTCCTACTCTGAAGGGGAAAGAGAGTATTGAGCTGTACTCAAGACAGGAGCACACAAATGATTTGAATGGTATGAACATTGCAATGTGATCTTTGGATTTGAAGATTTTTCATAATCCATCCTATCATTTTTTTAGGTGATGTTATATTTGCTTGGTTATGCTCCCTAAATGTTAGTTTGTCAGACATTATCATTCCCATAGACTTTACATGTTGCTTTCCTACTATGGGCAGATTTGATAGTGTCTTGTATTCCTTATTTTGTTTAAGATTTTAATTTTTACCATCTTGAGGTTATCTTGATGATTTCGGGGCTTTAGTGTCCCTGCGGCCCGGTCCTCGACCAGGCCTCCACCCCCAGGAAGAAGCCCGTGACAGCTGACTAACTCCCAGGTACCTATTTACTGCTAGGTAACAGGGGCATTCAGGGTGAAAGAAACTTTGCCCATTTGTTTCTGCCTCGTGCGGGAATCGAACCCGCGCCGCAGAATTACGAGTCCTGCACGCTATCCACCAGGCTACGAGGCCCCCCATACCTAAGTACCTGAAACTTATCACTGTTAAACATCATTTCTTTGTTGCTCACTCAAAAGCTTTGTTAATATCAGCTTGTAGTTTGTAAGTACACAAAGAAATCACATTAATGTGGGGTATCAATGAGAAAATCAGTAGGAGCCGTGAGGAAGATTTGAACCTGCTCTGGGTACCCCCAAGCACACGCTACTCCTCTGCTACACAGTTTTTCAACGTGCTTGAACTCTATTTTATTTGATTGACTGTTACTCTTTTGCATTCTGTTTGACAGAAAACTTAATATTCATAATATTAATGTTAATAACTTAAAATATTAACAGGAATAACAGTAACTTTAATGAGATCAACAGGAATAACAGGTAAACACATTTATCAAATGCCTTTGCAAAGTATATATATATATATATATATATATACACACACACACACACATACATACATACATACACATACATACACATACATACATACATACACACACTTGCATACTGTTTTTCTTTTAATGCATCATGATTTTTAAAATCCATGCTGGCCTGGGTTGTGCAGGTCATCATTCTCCATAAAACTAGAGATCTGACTTCTGATATCGCTCTCAAAAGCTATTATTATCGGGACGTTAGTGCAACTTATCTATAATTTGTAGCCAATTGCTCCCTCCCTTGTGTAGGAGAGCTATATCTGTTAATTTGTGTGCTTCAGGTATCTCCAGTATCTAAGATTTTTCTCCCTCACTACACTGAATGCTTGTATGAATTCTATGACTGGACCCAGGGCTGAGTGCATGGGCATATTCTCAAATTTTCTTTCAAAATCTACAGAGTTTGAGTTGATATCAGGGGTTTGGATAGTTATAAAGAAGCTGTCTGGATTTTCCACTTTCATGCTGTCTATTGGGGGGGAAGCTAAACATAGTCTCATACTGATTTTTTAGGATTTCACCAACTTCTTTGTTCTCTTGTGTATAAACCCCTCACTGTTAAGTATACGTCCAATACTGGTGGAGGTTTTTTATTTCTATTTGGCATATGTGAAGAATTATTTTTAGATTGTTCTTCATCTCTTGTGTGGCTTTCTGTTCTTATTTCATTTCTTCAATCTTCGACAGGGTGAAGGACACTGGTACTTTCACCCTGTTAATGGGCTTACCACTTCCCTCTGATAATTCCCTCCCTGTCTTTATATCCCTTCCATAGCTAAATAGTCATGCTAGGTTAGCTCTTTCTTTTGATAATCATCTTAATCATTAGAGCAATAGTGGTAAGTTAACAATGGTGTTATTAGGAACTGAACATACCTTCTCGTGGAGGAGGTCAAGAGCCAACTGGAGCCCAACGGCCTTCATATCAGTCTTCTGTAACGCTGAGGTGATGTACATATGCATGTCCAGGAACCGCTCTAGGACTCCACCCTGCTCTGCCTGTTCTATTTCCAGTTGTGACAGTAGGTTCACAAACCACTCAAATGAACGCTGGTCCCTGTTAATCCAGAAGAAGTCCACCTGGAGTGTAGGAGGATTAGTCGTTTTGAGTTTACTTTGCAGAGAATCCTTTACTAGGCTATGTTATTTGAGCTTTAATGTTAATTATATTTTGTTGATTAAATTTCGAGTGTTTGTAAATGTCTATAGGAGATATATTTGCTGGGCATGTCTGTACAAATCGCGTAACATCCTGATCATGTTGAAACATGTCGCCTATCATCATGGATATGTCAATACAAGTTATGATACATTCTGATCACCTTGACAGAAATCATGTAAACATATTATATACATTAGTACACATCCTGAACATCTTTATATCCGTATACATGACAAGTTATGCACATAAAACAACAAACAAGAAGCTGCTACTGCAAGGTAAGGAGGACACCTTGGGAACCTTTAATCTTACCTTGCGAAGACTCATAATGGTATTAAAAGAGGGGCCAGAGGTCCAGGAATACGTGCACCTGGGACAGGTGTGTCTAGCCTTCCAGTATTTGTGCATGATAGACTGGAGGATAGAAGCAAATGGTGTAACTCCTATCCCCGTCGCAATCAGGACAGCATGTTGGGCCCCGAAAATATGGCTGGATGGTGTACCGAACGGACCATCCATGTAAATCTGGGAAGGAACAAGAGGCCTTTGAGGATGGTAAAGAAAGTGGAAGAATTTTAAGAAATCCAAATATCGATGAGAACAAAATTTATTAAAAAAAAAAAAACATCAAGCAGCATGTGTATGGATTTAGAACTGGTTAACAAAGGAAGAATGTCAACCATGAACGGGAGTGCAATGAGTTAGAATGTGAAATGGTAACAGGGTTTAACAAAGAATTTGAATAGGCAGGTTCCCTCCCTAACATTTATGTTAACAAAAACTCTTCAGAAGGGGCCAACAGGAAGATCGGTACTCTAGTGATTGAAAGTGCTGCCCAAACATCAACCCAATCACTCAAGAGGTTACCTAAACCACATACTTGTGAATAAAGGGCTTACATAAAATAACTATAGGAAGGGCTTCCTAAACCACACGTTAATGATTGAAATAATAACAGTAAATAGTAAATGAACGAGTTTCCAAACTCCTAATTTAATTTCGAAAGAGCTACATAACAATCTAAACCAAACACGACTGAGGGGAACTACACCTCACACAACCGGATGACTGAGGGGAACTACACCTCCCACAACCCGATGACTGAGGGGAACTACACCTCACACAACCGGATGACTGAGGGGAACTACACCTCCCACAACCCGATGACTGAGGGGAACTACACCTCACACAACCGGATGACTGAGGGGAACTACACCTCACACAACCGGATGGCTGAGGGGAACTACACCTCACACAACCGGATGGCTGAGGGGAACTACACCTCACACAACCGGATGACTGAGGGGAACTACACCTCACACAACCCGATGACTGAGGGGAACTACACCTCACACAACCCGATGACTGAGGGGAACTACAGCTCACACAACCCGATGACTGAGGGGAACTACACCTCACACAACCCAATGACTGAGGGGAACTACACCTCCCACAACCCGATGACTGAGGGGAACTACACCTCCCACAACCCGATGACTGAGGGGAACTACACCTCACACAACCCGATGACTGAGGGGAACTACACCTCACACAACCCGATGACTGAGGGGAACTACACCTCACACAACCCGATGACTGAGGGGAACTACACCTCACACAACCCGATGACTGAGGGGAACTACACCTCCCACAACCCGATGACTGAGGGGAACTACACCTCCCACAACCCGATGACTGAGGGGAACTACACCTCCCACAACCCGATGACTGAGGGAAACTACACCTCCCACAACCCGATGACTGAGGGGAACTACACCTCCCACAACCCGATGACTGAGGGGAACTACACCTCCCACAACCCGATGACTGAGGGGAACTACACCTCACACAACCCGATGACTGAGGGGGAACTACACCTCACACAACCCGATGACTGAGGGGAACTACACCTCCCACAACCCGATGACTGAGGGGAACTACACCTCCCACAACCCGATGACTGAGGGGAACTACACCTCACACAACCCGATGACTGAGGGGAACTACACCTCACACCGAATGACTGAGGGGAACTACACCTCACACCGAATGACTGAGGGGAACTACACCTCACACACTGATGATTGTGGGGGAATTACACCTACAACTTGAGGTGATCGACTTGAGAATGGTCCAGGGCGGACCGAAACGTCGTCGTCCCTTCACCTTCTAGTGTGTGGTCTGGTTAACATACTTTAGCCACGTTATTGCGACTCATCGCCTACACCTACAACCGGAAGTCGAAGGGAAGGCTGCCTCTTTCACAATCCAACAACTGAGGGAACACTAACTACTATAACCTAATAACTGAGGGAAACACTGCACCTACCACAATAACAAGAGAACATTACACCTACCGCAAGTGGCTTGCCCACAGCACACGCTCCTTCAGCCATTGCCTCTTCGAACCTGCTCAACTTCCTTCCTCTTTGCTCGACTTGCTTGGGCGTCCTCAGTGCCGCGTCCTCCTGGTTGTTCTTATGGCGCACTTGGCCGCTTTCGGCTGTCAGGGGCGACATATCTGGAGGTCAAACATGTCTCAGGCCATTTTCTTCACGATATTGTCCGATACTTTAGATTGACTACTAAATTACTTACAAAAATGAATAAGGATCCTCTACTATGTGACAAATTCTTGTGCGCGATTGATCGCAATATAAACAAAATGGCACGTTATTCCCTCGAACTTATTCCACTTGTGAAATAAATACCTGATGAACATTTATTTTAACATTTGTGAAGCATGACAATAATTCAAATTTATTACAAGTACAGAGGATCTGATTACAGTAGAAAGAGTATTTCCATTAATATAAAAGTCCACTCTGGTGGACTGCTCAAGCAGCGACTGAACTATCCGGCTTGATTATGCTAGAAGTAACGACAGGAGGTTAGGTAGATGATCCACAAATTGTGATAGAATCGTGACTTAAGAAGCATAGTTTCATCAGAATTGACAAATGTGATGGGCGGAGTGTTAACTAGTGTGCAAGTTTAGCATGAACCAAATAACCATTTTCTCCACATTGAATTTAAGCGGAAGTGACAAAAAAATGTACTGTTGTAATGGAGGTATAGTGGACTGTTGCTCGAGTATAAACACCTTGCATGTAACACCTAGCGTAGGTGTACCGAACTATGAATTAATGGGTGAGAACTGCTGCACTAGAAGCGAGGGAATTGTGTTGTGAATGAGTCAGGTGTTGAATGAGACTTGCTGGTGTGTTTAACAAATCTGGAGTAACAAATCAAGTATTGAATAGGAAATAATTTGGTTTCCCACTATCAGGAAACCTGTATTTAGGTTTATCAAGGTCCGGCTAAGTCAACATAATGCCACCCCACAACACTTGTTCAACTCTCGGAAACTTATTTTACTACTAGGTAAAGAGAGAGAGAGGCATCAGGTGAAATGAAACGGTGCCCAATCGTCTCTGCCTTGCCTGGGGGATCGAACCGAGGACCCTAGATTGAGAGCCATCGACACGAATGTCAAACGCGCACACATTACCTTTAACCAAGTGCACTCACCTAGCGTGCCGGGGGAAGAGTTCACTCCACCTTCCTGGATGGTCACCCTCACCTCCCTTCTATGCTCCTCCACCTCCTCCTCGACCTCGTAACTCGCGTTGTCTTCAGCCTCGGAGGGCGTGTCGAGCGTTATTATTGTAGGCTTCCGCCTCATGTATCTGCAGGAGAAGAGCAGCTTTAGTTACAACGCTCAGCGAGATTTCATATGCAGTGTTGACCAGACCACACACTAGAAGTTGAAGGGACGACGACGTTTCGGTCCGTCCTGGACCATTCTCAAGTCGATCTTGATCCATTCTCAAGTCGATCCTGGACCATTCTCAATCGACTTGAGAATGGTCCAGGACGGACCGAAACGTCGTCGTCCCTTCAACTTCTAGTGTGTGGTCTGGTCAACATACTTCAGCCACTTTATTGTGACTCATCGCCTTCATATGCAGTAATCTTGCAAACTTTTGTACGTAGAACATTAATAAAGATGAGAAACTGTCTCTGAAAAGATCGCTATAAAAATGCTATTAACACCGAACACTAACATATTTTTATTGATATATAACAAACTTACTGTTTATACTCCATTAATAGCTTCGTACTGCTTATTGTATCATGTTGCGGCATGAACTAAATATACAGTATTAACTTTCAGTGCAAGATTCCCCAAGATTCAAGTGTATCTTTAATCTAATTAGCCGATGCCAAATTACTGTTCCAAGTTCCGGTCTGCACAAGGAAGTTGGTGCACCTTTACTCGTGTATATTCTAGGGAATATTCACCTGTAGCAGCGCAAGCAAACAAGGACCGGACATCATCTCACCTGAAGCTTGATGGTGCTGTGGATTTGAGCAAGTGTGAGAAGAGTGGAGCAGGAGTGTGAGAGGCCGGCTGCTCAGCCAGCTTCAGCGAGCTGGCCTCGTACGTCCTGGCCGAGGCTGCCCGGAAGTTGTCACGTAGGCTGCAACAACAACAAATTTAATCCATCTTCCTTGTTTGTGTGTATTTGTATATATATAAGGGGATGGGAGGTACCAGCTGTGGTTGTGTTTGTTTGGGACCCTCAGCCTCGAAGAATATACATGTGTACATACATACATATTATATATATATATATATATATATATATATATATATATATATATATATATATATATATATATATATATATATATATATATATATATATATATATAGAGTGAGTTCAGGCTTGGGAAATAGGGCGTGTATGTGTGTGTATGTTTATGTGCATTTTGGTGTGTATTTTAATAAAATGCTAACATGAATCGTACGTCCATTCTTCTTATTTCATTGTACACTGCATGTCTAAATATTCGGTACAATTCTTATAGTTATGTTGTGTATATATTGTGTTATATCTTGGTTAGAGAGACATCCTATAGTAAAGTTTGTATGTTCATATTTGAAACTTCTGATTCATGTTTGGTACGCACGCACGCGCGCACAAAAGGTGCCGAAAACAATATTAGAAAGTATTATTTTGCAAACAGAATGGTAGACGGTTAGAACAAGCAAAGTGAGGTGGTGGTGGAGGTCAAAACCATCAAAAAGCATTTTCACGTTTTACGTTTTCAAAGCGTTTTACGACAATGTGTACTGGGAAGACGGGACACCACGAGCATAGCTCTCCGTCTTGTAACTACACCTAGGCAATCACACACACACACTACTCTATCCCATTCATTATAAATAAACATCTTTTTGACAAATAAATGTGAATAAATAATTGTAATCGCTTTAATTCTTTCAGTCATCAGTCAAAAAACAGAAAAAGCATTACTGACTATCGTCCTCTTATATTGAGCCAAGAAGGAACACCAAGAGAAGTTATACTAACATCAAGTTCTTCTCTCGCTTCTTCAGTCTCTTGGTTAAGTCGGGCACTGAGCGGGTCTTGACCAGTTTCTTCTTGCCCATCTTTGATCCCCCGAAAAAGTGATGCGAGGACTGGTTCTTTGCGCCTGTAAGAGGTGCTTTGGGAGCCGTCGTCTCCAGCGTGGTCATGGCGGGGTCGGCGGCTTCTCCATCACTCTGGGTAGTCTCCAGCCTCACTCCGTTGACGCTTCCGTCGAGTTCGAAGGCCACGTTGGTCGTGCCGTTCTCCTGCAGTGCCTTGGACCCGGTGTTGCCTGAGGACGGAGCACAGAAAACTAAACATGGTTTCCATTTCATATTGTTGGGAAACAGGAAGCTTGTTAAGGTTGTCAAGGTCTCCCTAAGAGGTACCCATGAGTTAGGCAACTGTTATAGGTTGCATTCTGGAGAAGGTCAGTCGTTGATACCTATTTAGGTACCTATTTAGGTCAACGACTGACCTTCTCCAGAATACAACCCATAACAGTTGCCTAACTCATGGGTACTTGTTTACTCCAAGCGGAAACAGAGGCATGATATAAAAAGTAATGTGCCAAAAATGTCACCTCCCGCGTGGGAATCGAACTTGGAACCATCCATTCTTCATATTGGGCACAATAAAGTATGAAATTTAGTCTTAAGGGCTGACAAAGGACAATTACTGCCCGAAACGCTTTGCGTAATAGTGGCTTTAGGCATTGTACGTACTAGCTCCATCTATAAATCGATCAATTTATGTAAAATCTCTTGTATGTATGTACCTTACCTGAATAAAATTTTTATTTCATTTTTTATTTTTAATTACTATGAAGCCATGCGGTAGGGAAATCTCATATTTAACCTATCCTCTTGCCTAATACATGACATTCTTCACGAAAGCGACAAATATGTTAAAAATGAGGTGTATTAGTAAAAATTTAAGCACCGAAATATTGACGTTTTCTAGCCAGCGGCCTGAAGCGTGTTAACACGAGGTTTACCGTATTGCTTGGGTTCGTACGCTTCTGATTAGACAAAACAGTTGCACTTTTTACGGAGTGGTGAGTCATGTGAACGTGCTGCTGTGTAAGATTTCTGAAGGAACGAATCTTGTTGGTGAAAGTGGAAAGAATTATCGTCAACACCAACAAGCCTCATCTACACAACAGCCTCATGACCTAACAAGACTAAAACTAAACAGCATCATAAACATCAATAGTAAACAAGAACATGTTAACAAAGTTACAATATAAGAAGTCACATCAACGATAAAATAAATGTGTAAGAGACACATGTGCAGTAGTTACCACGGCAACAATTACATGCAGAGGAAATAATTTAAAAACAAAACAACAAACCAGATGTTCTTTTAACTGCATTTTCAACACATGGCCAAGATGACCCGGGATGGCTCACCTAATGAGCCGTCGAGTTACCTGTGACGAGTCACTCGGAGAGGTGAGTAACCTGACGGTGAATTACCTGAGGGGTTGTCGTGGAGGGAGAGGGTCAGGGGGGAGGCGCTGGTCTTCCGGGGCCTGATGATGGTCGCTCTCCGCCCGTCACTCACCATCCTGCACACAAACATAACGAAGGTTACTCGTGCAACATGACAGGGAACTCATGCAACATGACAGGGAACTCATGCAACACGACAGGGAATTCGTGCAACACGACAGGGAACTCGTGCAACACGACACAATCACCTGACAGGGCAACGATATGCACCAGACCATGACAGAGAAGCATCGTTGTCTTGCGATTATTCGGCCAAGGGTTCTGATCCTCGCAAGACATTCGCTAACAAATTAAGAGGGACATGTTATCGGGTGGCGAGAAGGAAGGTTATCCTAAGTTGGATTAGTGGGTTTGGTTATTTATTTTAAGGAACGTACTCGGCATAAACGGAGAAGTCTGAGTGGGGAACATAATGTGAGTGCCTCAGGGCTCTGGCCTAGAACCTCTTGATACTTATACAGTATAAACAATTTAGACAAGTTTGAACAACAACACTCACACACGATACAAAAATAGGAATTCAGAATTCCTATTAATTCATCTTAAATTAATGGAAATTAATTCAAAAGACTTAACAAATTAAATCTTCAAAAATTAATTCAAAGACTTAAAATATTAGGTTTTAAAAAAATTAATTCGAGGACTTAAAATATTAATTCTTCAAAAATTAATTCAGAAGACTTAAAATCACTACAAGACTGTGTAGATAGGCTTTCAAAATGGACGACAGATTGGCAGATGCAGCGTAATGCTGAAAATTGTAGGGTTCGGAGCTCAGGTAATAATGGTTACTTGATATCAGCAAAACTTTAAATTACAAAGTCTGATTTTGGAACAGATCTAGGAGTCATGATTAGTAGGAAACTTTAGCCAAAAAATCAATGCATAAATGTACGGGATAAATCAAATAGGCCCTAATCTAATCTTCATTTAGATTATGCAGTTCAATTTTGGTCGTTGTACTATAGAATGGACATAAATTCACTAGAAAGCGTTCACCGATGAATGAGAAAGTTGGTCCCGCAAATTAGAAATCATTCATGTGAAGTGAAATTGAAAAGCGTAATTTACATTCTCTAGAAAGGACAAAAAAAAGTTAGGGATGACATGATCGAAGTGTACAAGCTGACGAATGGGCATAAGGGGTTGATATTAGTAAGGCATTCAATATAACAAAATAAAGCACAAAGCAATGAATGAGTAATGGATAAGTTTAGAGTCAATACAGGCCTGGGTAAATACAATTTTGGAAATAGGACGGTTGATTTGTTCGCACAAATTACCGGGTAGCATAACAGACGTGAAACCACTAGATTGTTTCAAGCGTAGGTTAGACGTATGAATGAGTTTGGGTGGAAATAAATAGGAGCTGCTTCGTGTTGTCCAATAGACCATCTGCAGTTGTCCGAATGCTGATGTTCTTACTGTAAGGCAGGAATGCAATGGGCAGGATGCAGCGTTATAAATCATAGTGTCAACTGACGCAACAGTGATGCGGCTGTATATTAATACTGTAATGACATGCATGCAGTGATAGTGACTTGTAATGAGATTCAATGCCAGAAATACAATAGGAAATGTAGATCAGCGCGAGTGACATTGAAGATATGCACTGATAAGTCTACAGCAATACAGTAGTACAAGACCAGTGATATAGCAATACAATAACAACAATACAGTGAGAGCGGTTCAGTGATAGAGCTGACATAGAAGCTATACTGTGAGTTGCAGTCAATCACTTTACACCTGCTTATGTGAGTGTGATGTCAATCACTCCACACCTGCCTGTGTCACTGCTGTCAATCACTCCACACCTGCCTGTGTCACTGCTGTCAATCATTCCACACCTGCCTGTGTCACTGCTGTCAATCACTCCACACCTGCCTGTGTCACTGCTGTCAATCACTCCACACCTGCCTGTGTCACTGCTGTCAATCACTCCACACCTGCTTGTGTGTGTGTGTGTGCCGTCAATCACTCCACAGTAATACAGTACATGTTATTGATGATAGCAACAATTAAAAATAATATTAATAAAACAATATATACAAAGTGATCCAGTTACAAAGCTAAACAACCCCCAACGACGAACAAACCATTTTCCCACCATAATCACCGACACTAAGAACTATAGAGTCGAGGTGTACAAGAGAAGGTTTAGGCTACTGACGTGTTGAGTTCGGTGGCGTCTCCCGCCTGGACCACGACCTCGCCTCGCTGGCGGGAACACCGCTCCTGCTCCACCTCGAAGTACTGGACCAGTCTGTTGGTCCACTGGCCCACAGCCCGGATGTGCAGCCACACCACATCTGCAGGTAAGATGTAACTGTTAATGCAACAACCTACGCTTAGGTCTGATTAAGATCTTTTGTGCCCTCTGTAATCCTTTTTTTGCGCTCACATGATGAGTATGAGAATTATTATTATTATTACTTGTACAAAGAAATTTCAATTAATGTGATGTATTAATGAGAAAATCAGTTGGAGCCGTGTGGGGCATTCGAACCTGAAACGCAGGTAATTCGAAACGCATGTCTTAAACCTCTGAACTATAGGCTATAAATAATGTAACTTGGGATTCAATTGAATCCTATAGGGAGGTTTTGAAGCATCAAGCTGGTACCAAATCAAGTTTTTACACATTACCTGCGTATATTCTGATGTGGTATCGGATTTCTTCCACCAACGCTCCCTTCAAATGAATCTAAGTTACATTACTTATAGCGAATCGTGATTCAGTGGTTTAAGGCATGTGCTTGAGAGTACTCGTGTTGCTGGCTCGAATGTCCCGCATGGTTCCAACTGATCATTATTATTATTACATAATATTTATTATTGTTATTATTCGTTATAATGATTGTGTTATTCATGGAAGCAGCGTTGGAGAAAGTTCAACACCGGGCAACAAGAATCATTCCAAAGCCAAGTCAACTCTTGAGGGCCCCAGGGTTAACAACATTGCAAACCAGGCATAACAGGGCGGAACTCTTCGAAACTTTTAAAATACTGAACAATTTGGAGGATGTTGATCCAGACAACTTCAAAAGGTCAGATGTAACAAACAAGGAGGAATGGTTTCAAGCTCAACAAGACAGTGAATCAATGACAAAACATGTTGAAAGTGTTAGAATAGTGACTATAGTAGGACAGGAAACAATGGAGGCTCCAAATGATAAAATATAGTTGAAATATTTATTTATATATATAAGGGTTTTTACATTCTCGTATATCATTTTACACGATTTAAGTTTTCATTAGTGCTGTAAGAGACCATTTTGAGTTCATTAGTGTAAATAGGCATCCACGAATTTATATTTGACACGCATTTGGCAGATAATTCAAATATTTATAGATGGGAAGCAAACGAAATGAGGCCAAGAAAACCCAAGTATGTTTTGATAGCGCGAGGTCGATCGAGAGAGGTTTTCCCGGGAGATGTGTGACAACAGGGTGATAGGGTCCCCCTCGCCCTTGGCC